CCTGGCCTGGGCATGGTGCTTGTGAAAAAGGCCTGGGAAGCCCTTGGATTAGGAGGACAGCTGGGTCCATAATTTCCATCACTAGGCAATGCAGCCCTAACCCGTGATGGTGTCCATGTCCCCATCCTAACTCAGAGGCCTTGTGAGTCACTCAGAGGACCTCATGTGACAGAAGACCTGGGCAAGCAGGCTGACTGGCAGCTGGGGGAATGCCACAGGCAGGCGCTATAGAGCATGTGTGGGTGAGTGCGTGGCTGGCTGGCTGTATTCTGTAGCAGGGCTGCTTTGGGAGATAAAGGGACGAGTGCAACTTATGGGAGCGACTATTTACAAAGTCTGCAATACTATCACTACTAATCTTCTCATCTCTCCTTATCACCCATCCCCTCCCACTTGTGACTGTAGGACTGTAACTTTGTCGCTTGTATCCTTACGATTTATATGGACTGTTTCCTAGTATGATTTGATGGCTTATTGTACCCTATGACTATCATTAAGGGTGGTACCTGATGATTCTTGACTCTTGACGAATGTCTCTTTTCTTTTATGTACACCGAGAGCATTTGCACCAAGACAAATTCCTTGTGTGTCCAATCACACTGGGCCAATAAAGAATTCTATTCTATTCTATTGGTGTCCCTTTGCTGGCTTCCTCAGCAGGGAAGGTTGCAAATCACACGATCGATCGTGATCACTTGGTCGACTGTGGCTGGCTGGAGTGCCTGGATCGCAATTGTGTGACAATGGGGATATTGAAACAGCTATCCTTCCGAGGACCAATCACAAGCGCCCCTCCTTCAGCTCCACTGTAATTTCACATATCAATCAGTTATTTTAGGCTGTATCCACGGAAATGCTTCATTAATTGCAGCAAGCAATGCATCGTCTTCCATTTTTTGGCCAGAGCCCACTTCCACGACCAGGTCCAGTTGTGGCCATAGCATTTAAGAGAACTGGGAGTCAGTTCAAAGAAGGGTAACGAGGTTGAAACAAGGAACAGAAACTAGGGACTGAGCAGAAAAAGGGAAGGGAGGGCAGGATCCGAACAGAAGGACGGCCAAAGGGCCTCCTCCTCCTCCTCCTCTCTTTTGTCATTCTGCTTCTGCTCGGCGGATGTAAAGGCAGGCCCCCCACTGACCCACTGCTGGGGAGTCAGGAGAAAAGAGATGGGAGAGCTCCCATCCTCTGCTTTGGAGCATCAAGAAAAAAAAAAATCCTTTTTCCTGTGGTAAAACATGAAATTGGATGGAATAGGTACACACGAGCGGCCCAGTTACAGATTGCATGGGGCCTTAGTCACAGCCTCTGTTCACCTTCATCGCTTCAGATCAGTTTGTTTAGTTTGCAATGTACTATAAGATACAGTGTTAGAATAAGGTAGTTTTAAAGTAGAATATGGAGCAGATAAGCAGCGTACCAAGGTACTGCCCTTTTTATTGACAAATAGAATATGTATGAGGAACATTGGACTAAAAATAAAAAGAGTTAAAACTGAATCAAACACCTTAGACCAGGCTTGTCCAACCTGCGGCCCAAGGGCCGCATGCGGCCCAGGTCACCTTGTAATGCGGCCCAGTGCCCACCCCAACCTTCGTGCCAGAGCCAGCGAGGAGGAGGAGGAGAAGCAGGCGCGAGGCAGGGCGAGGCGAGCGCCAGGCCAAGCAGCAACAGAAAAAGCAGGCGCCGTCAGAGCGCCACCTCCTGCTGTTGCCACCACCGCCATCGCCGCCGCTTCTGCCCCCGCTGCCACTTCTGCCCCTGTCGTTGCTGCCACTTCTGCCCCCGCCGCCTCCGCTTCTGCCCCCGCCACCACTGCTGCTTCTGCCCCTGCCGCCACTGCCCCTGCCGCTGCTTCTGCCCCCGCCGCTGCTGCTGCTTCTGCCTTCCAGTCCTGCCTCATCCAGCCGGGCCATTTGCAGGAGGAGAGGTAGGCGCGAGGCGGGCGAGCTTTCTCCACCCCCCCGCAAAATTTGGCCGGAAAATAAACCATGATAAAAAAACCATGATAAAAAAACTGTGATAAAAAATAAATAATTTTTAATAAATAATTAATAATAAAAACATCTCACTAACTTCATTTCCAAATAAATTTAATATGTTAACTATGTTTTCTATGGTTTTTTGGGATGATCAGGTATCGTTACTGTTATTTTATTTTATGTGCGGCCCAAACCAAATTTTCATCTTCTAATGTGGCCCAGGGAAGGTGAAAGGTTGGACACCCCTGCCTTAGACGTTCTAACCGCTGGAAGCAAGGAAAACAGGTGAAATTTCTGATGAAAAGGGCAGAGTGCAAATCCAGGCCACTGCTGGATTTCCAAAGCCAACTCCATTCTGAGTTGACCATGGCAATCCAATGGGAACAATGAAGAAGAGGAAGGAGCAACAAGGGAGCCAACCCCACCCTCATCCTGAAGGCATTACCTGACAGGCTAACGAAAGTTCTGCAAGCAAACCCAGCTCCGAGAGCACCAAGGACCCCACGTTTGAAAGGCGCCTGTGCCACTGGAACATCAGATTAATCAGATACAAATAGTCCTCGACTTAAGACCATAATTGGGACTGGAATCTCAGTCACTGAATGAAGCCCTTGTTCAGCAAAATATCTCATGACTAGTTCAACAACCGCCATCCTAGCATTCCAGTCATATGAGTCGTTAAGCAGGTAAAGGAAGAACTCGGAGCTGAAAATCCTGCTTGGGTTTTTGGCAGGAAGGATTTTCAGCCGCCAGCCCCCCCCCCCCCCCCCCCCCCCCCCCCGCCCCCCGCTTGTGCCAAGTCTCTCGAGTCGTCCCCCTCCAAGGCATCATCCAAGGCACTCCCTACTCCATAGCTAGGAGCAGAAAATCTTCCCTTAGAGACACACGTGTGGCCTACACTGGACCTCTCCTACCTGCCTGTGGCACTCCATGCTCCAACTGCACTGCCTGTGTCAGTTCTGGGGCTGAAAATGCTGCTTGGGTTTTGGCTCTGTCTCCGGCCGAAGAGCTGCCTGCCTTTGGCTTTCTGCCATACACAGAGCTGAAATCTTTGGCAGGCAGCAGGAATGGTGCTGAAACCCTTCAACAGACGGCTCTTTCAGCTGATTCCCAGAGAAGGGACAGTAGCAGCTTGCAAACTTCGCTGCTGGCTTCCTCCTCGCATAATCGTGGGGCGCTTAGTAACTGCTCCTAAGAGTAAATAGGTGACCAACCATCCAGTCTAAGGATGTCTAATCAAGTCCAGTCCAGTCTAATCAAGGGATTGTGTGTGTGTACACACCATTTTGCGACAGTCCAAAGTGTTTACTGGTAATAAAGCATCCTTTCTGAGGCTGTCATTATTTTGAACTATCATTAAGCAAATGACCATGTCAATGACCATCTGGATCTCTTTCTGCGCTTTTGGAAATCTCTAAATGAATATGAATTGAGACTTCTGAAAATTCACTAATAAAACCTGATTCTTTTGCAAATTCCTCCAACTCTACCCTAACATTAAATCCACATTTAAATAGCATACCTTTAAAATTCAGTTAAAATTCAATTAACCAAGATGAAGGGAGCAAAATGCAGATGGGGAGGATCTGGTGGGATTAACTAAGATTCCATTCTCCCATTGGGACATGCGTCAGCCCAACCTCCTCCATGGGCTGCAATTCAGGGGTTGGCTGGCTGTGGACGTTGCTACAAAACCCTATGACTCCCGATCACGCAAGCTGCTGGCCTGGACATTGCTATGAAGCCCTGTGACTCAAGATCATTTAACTGCCGTGAGCCTGCAGGAGTAACTCGAGCGATGGCAGAAGAGCTGAGAGGGAAATCGCATAGGATCGACAGCCGGCACACTCCGGAGGAAGATAAACTGCTTACATCAAATCCTGTTGTGGCTGTTGTGCTTTCTTTGGGTCGTGTGACTGAACCTGACAACAGGTTCCTTGCATTATATTTCTTTATTCAATATCTATAGCTATCCAACTCAATCAGGTGATCCGGAACCTACACCATGAAGGTTTGCAACACACAAAGCGGCAACCAGTGCAGCTCGTAGGCGGTGCCACATGGGACACCCCAGAATTCCTTTCTGTTCCAGGTTCTTAGTGTAATTTTGTCTTTGCAGCTTCGGATTTTCTTTCCCTGCAGGCAGCACCAGCCACTTGACTAGAGCTTCTGGAGGTCTTAAGGGCGGCCCATGACAAACATCATTAGAGCACCCAAAGACCCTCAGCTCTTCTCTGGTAGCATGTCGAGTCAGCCGACCGGCAACATCATTGATGTCTTGCCTACCGGTGTTTTTTTCCAGGCTGCTTCCTCCGAGGCGGCACGGGTCGCCGTCTGTGCCAGGGCCGCCAAAGCAGCCTCGTTCTGTTGCTGCCGCCGGCTGCTTTGACGGGGCGGCCCCGGGAGACCCTGTCCTGGGCATCCTGCCCAGGGCCTTCGCCTGTTCCCCCAAGGACAGACGCCGGCGCGGACTCCAAGCAGCACAGAAGCGGGGGGGGGGGGGGGGGGGGCGGAGAGAATGAGGCGCATTCCGACATTCTCCACTCGGGTAAAAGCAACACAAGGGCAAAACTCCCGAACTTCCGGAGCGCCGCTTTCCAACCTTGGCCAGTTTAACACGAGTGGACTTCAACTCCCAGAATTCCCTGGCTCGAAAGCGAACCTCCAGTCCGGCCAAGTTGGCCAAGGAATTCTGGGAGTTGAAGTACCGGGACCCTTTGGAGACCTGGTCCGAAAGGCCACCGCGCGGAGGAGGGTCCGGCCCACCACGGAGAAAACGGACGAGGCCCGTGGGGGCTCCGCTCTCCCGGGCCGCCCTCAACGGAAGAGGGCTCCGCCGCTTCGCTTCTCGCCTCGGCCCGACGGCGCACCCACGACGGCAAAGAGGCGTTTCGGGGGGTCTCTCCAAAACGGCGGCTGCGAGGGAGGAGTCCTCCCCCCCGACGGCCCCGGGCATGCGCGCTGGCGGGGAGCCGCCTCGCGGGCGGGGCGGGACCAGGCGGGAGTTGGGCCGGCCCTCCCGCCCTCGCTCACAGCCCAGCGCTCGCCGCCGCCGCCGCCGCCTCGCCCCGCAGGTAGGAAAACGCCGCCGCCGCCGCTCCCCCCTCCCGGGAGGCCCAGCCAGCCACGCGCCCGGCAGGCGAGGTTGGGCGCCGCTCCAGCCCTCCCGCCCGCCGGCCGGGAAGAGCCCGGAGCCACAACGCGAGGGCCGAGGAGGGCCCGGGAGCCGCCGCTCCTCCGCGGGAAACCCGGCCCTTCCCGTCCGGCCCTGCGCGGGTGTACAGGACGGCCCGGAGAGTCTCGCCCTGGTGGGGGGGGGGGGGGGGGGGGGGCGGGCGGGGGGGGCAGGGCCGGGGGGGGGGGGGGGGGGGGCGGGCGTCTGGCGGCGGAAAAAGGCCCGGTGGGGACCCTGCGGGCTTCGCGCTCCGACTCTGCCTTCGCGCCCTTCCCTCGGCCGAGAGGGGAAGGTCCCGGGCGGGCCGCGGAGCCTTCGCTGCCCTCGGCCTTGGGGTGCCGTGCAGAGGAAGGCGCCCTCGCCCTCCGCCTCCCGGCCTTGGGCTCCCCGCCTGCCCCGTGCAGCCTCCGAGAGTTTCTGAGCCGGCAGCGCTTTGCCCCGGGCCAGCCCCCCCCCCCCCCCGCCGGCCCCCCCCCCCCCCCCTCGGCTGGACTCGGGCGCGGGGGGGGGAGGTCCCGCCGCTCCGAGCGGGGCCTCCGGAGAAGTCGGGCTTCGGGCGTAGGGAAAGCGGAAAGGAGGAACTGCTGGCTGCCCTCCCACCCTGCCGCAGCCCTCGGAGCCCCCTCCGCGGCGGCAGCAGCCCCACCCCCGGTCAGCCAGTCAGCCAGTCTACTTGGCGGGGGGGAGGGCGAACCTCGCCCGCTCCTTAAATTCCAGGCGGGTGAAAGGCGGAGTTTCAATATTGAACCGAATGTGGACAAAATAGTCCCTTTTATGGCGCTGTGCTGGGGGGGGGGGGCTGAGGGAGGGGCATTCCTCACTGGTGACGGGTCTTTGCATGAAGAGGTCTCGGTTCGGTTTCTGAAATGTTTTTTCCAATGGAAGGGAATCCGTAGCTGCCGGGGCTGAACGGCGGAGGCCCCCGGGTTCCCTGGAGTTTGGTTGCTTGCCAGCAGACCTTTCACGAATGCCTGCTAGCAACAAGGGAGTATCAAAGATGCACCTAAAAAAAGGTGCCGTGATAGGTTTCTAGCACCAATTGTGTCTTGTGCAAGGCATACTCCAGAATTAGCAGGCGAGTGTTTACAGGAAAAAATAAAACCACAAACAGCAGCCAAGGCTGCAGGCTTTGTCAGATGTTTTGGGCCGTTTTGATCAAGATGACTGGGATTATTTTTAACCTACTGAAAATGGAGCTGTGAAATTTGGAGTTTCTCTGCAGAAATCTACTTTGGTTTACTGCTTTGCTCTTTGGCGGCTGCCAAGTTGATTTCCACTTTCTATTTTTTTCTAAAGCTGCACTTCCTTAGTGGGGGCTCCTGGCTTGCTTTGTGAGAGACTGTGGGAAGCCCCCCACCCCCAAGTTCTATGGCCTCGGGCTTCTGGGTCTTGCTGGAGCGGAGCGCAGAGGCAGCAGCAGGCGTGCCCAAGGGGGTGCTTCTGGAGGTAGACCACCCGGAGGGCATTTTGCAGTGCTCTGCTTGAAAGGGCACTGCCAGGTGTCACTGGGCAGAGCTGGGCATCCCAGTTGTTTCTTGCAGTTGTAGAAGTGGGGGCTCCCCCCTCCCCCACAGAGTGTGGAGCCTTTGATTGCAACTGTAACATCTGCTTCGCTCAGGGATGCCTCGTGTGAGGCAAGTGCCCTTCCACCTTACCCCAGGAGACATCCAGGGCTGCTCCTACAACTTGGGTTAGAGCCCTTAAAAGCTGCAGAGGGGCAGGAAGTCCCACAAGCGTGCCACCAATCATGTCTGGGGCTCCAGAGGGACAGAGGGGTCATGTCCAAGGGGGGGGGTGCCCTTCGCATTCCTCATCGGACACAAGAGTATCCTAGGCCCCCTCTAGGTGGGGAGGGGGTTGTGTGCCATCCGCCAGTTCTTGGGGCTGTGGTCCATTCTGCCTCTGAATAGAGGCCCTGCGGCCTCCCCACCCCCCACTGCTGCTGCTGAGGGGGGCAGTGGGGGGGGAGAAGTGGCCAGGCATTCCATATTTGGTAGCAATCGTTGTGGACTCTTTTGCCATGGGAGGAGGACGCTTCCCACTCAGTTCCTCCTCCTCCTGGCTGTCTCCACATCTGGGAGGGATGAGGCACAGCCAAGAGGGCCCTGTAGGGTTCAGGCTGGCTTGTCAGGCCTTCTGCAGCTGCCTTTGGCCATCCGACCTGAGGCTGGCACAGGAGAGCAGCCGCAGGCCCTTGGACAGCCTCTGTGGTGAAGGGGGAGCAGGCCTTCCAAACCGGGTGGGCACGTGGGCCGCCTCCCTCCGCTCCCTCTCCTGCTGGTTTCTGGTTCAGGGAGTGCGAGGCGAGGGGACGAGCCTCCCCGGTGGTGTTTGAAGGGGGGGCTTCCTCTCCCCCCTCTCTTTGGGGCACCTTGGAATGCCGGAAGGGGCGTCCCCTTGCCGGGGACATCTGGGGCTGCACAGCTGGTGCCCCCTGTGCGTCTGGCCCCTTTGCCCTTTCCTTGTGCCCAGAGCTCTGGCCTCAGTGGGCCTGTTGAGGCCGCCATGAGCTGGACGGGCAGGAAGTGGACCTGCGGGCAGCTGACCTGGAGGGGAGAGCCGGCCCTTCTGCCCTGTAGCGTCAGGGAGGCCGCCTAGCACTTCCAGAGGTTTGGGTCAGGGGCTCCCCTCCATATCTGCCGGGGTGTCAAAGGCTGCAGATGGGAAGACAGGGGAAGTAGGCCCAGCTCAGAAAGGGTGGGGCTGGGATGGACCCCACGCCCAGGGAGGTGGGGGGAAGCGGCGACTGACTTAGCCCAGAGCAGGCTCTCCTCTTCCCCACTTAGCAAGGAGGAGGGCAGGTGCTGTGTGGGGAAGGGAAGGAGGAGAGCCCTGCCTGGGTGTTTGGAGGCCTGTCAACTCTAGCCCAGGCCGCAGAAGAGCAGTGGAGGCTGGGTGGGGGAGCCGTTTCCTGTTGCATTTCTCATTTGCGAAGGGAGGGATGGGCCTGGCCCAGCGGGTGCTGTGGGTGGGTGGCTGCTCCTCCCTCCCTCCCTCCCTCCCTGCGTGGTGCTGATCCTTGAGACTTTGGGAAACTCTTAAAGAGCCTTCACCCTTTGAGGTGGAGTGACTCGGGTGGCTCTGCTGGCCTTGGGGTGCTCCCGGCACACGGGGTGGGGCTCTCGGAAGCCTTTGGCCGCAGCACCGCTGCCTTCGGGCTTGCTTTGGCTTTCCCCTTGCCCGCTGCATAGCCCTCTCAGCTGGGAGGGGCTTTATCTTTTGAAGCTTTCCAAAGGCTCTGCCTTTCCAGGGTGGGGAAGCCTGAGGTTAAAGGTGTCTGGTGGTCTTTGAGCAGGTGGGGAGGAGCGTTCAGTTCCCACAGGGCCGTCAGAAGTGGGTGCCCTTCCTGCCTCCAGGAGCCGAGTCGGTGCCACAAACTGAAATGCAGAGAAGGAAGGCAACCGGGCCAGGCTCCTCTCTTCCTCCTCCTCCTCCTCCTCCCCCCTTATTTGTTTTTGGGCTGTTCTATATTTCTGTAGAGACATTCAGCGTCCCAAATTATTTTCAAGCCATTCGATGTTAAGGCTCTGCTCCCCTGGATGTTCATGCACTGAGAATGGAAGGCTAAACCTGTAGTAAACACCTGGCAGCCGAGCCTGCAGATTTACAGGGAGTGGGGGGGGGCAGGATTCGGGCTGCGTTTTTTAGTTGAGAACTTCAAAGCAGTTAATAGGTTTATAAAAACCTTGAGAGCCAGTCCTAGAATCGAAATGGGGCCCTGCCTCGGCTGACCTGCCCTTCCCAGACTCTGGTCTAGTGTTGACTTGAGTCCATCCCTGCTCTACCCCATCCCCCCCCCCCCCCAATCATCCTTGCACTGCTCCCTGGGACTCTGCTCTGCATGACACAATACACCCCTCCCCCGGGCCTGAGACTCCCCCATAGTTTTTTCAACTGGCGCTCCGGCCTGGTGCTGCCAGGGCTTGGCTCTGGTTGGTCCTGGGGTCCTATTGGGAGAGAGTCACCACATCTGCGCCCCAGTTCATACAGAGGTGAATTCTGAACGGTGCTGCCATCTTCCTTTGGGGCTTATCCAGGCTGGAAGGTTGGTAGCTCTTTTACTCCCATTCCTGATTTCTGTGGTTTGGTCCCTCGGTCCCTAAGAGGAAGGGGACCCACTCTGAGCCAAAGCGTGAGGAAAGAAGGGCCGGGGGTGGGGGGCTCAGCTCAGGGCTGTCAGGCATCTGCTGCACGCAGGTCCATTGGTGCTTTGGGAGGCCTCTGCATCATCAGGCCTCTCCAGGGGCTTGCCAGACGCTGCTTCACTGATTCTGACTGAGCCTGTGTGGCCCCCAAATACCCCCCCCATCACCTCCCCCTCCAACACATCTCCTGAAAAGGAAGGCCTGGCTCTCTGGCAACCATGGGGGGCTGAAGCCCCGGGACTTCCTCGGGTTTGAACGCTGACCCCCAAAAGTTTGCAGCTGCCTTCATTTTGACAGGGTGTGTCGCTTCCGGGGTAGATGTATGGCCCCCCGTCCCCTCCCAACAGGGCTCCCTCTGGGAAAGGGCCGCTGGTACCTGTCTGGGCCCAGCATTTTTCTGGGGAAATGAGGGTGGGGAAGGGGGGCCGGGGTCGGCCTCTTACCCAGCCCATTTGGCAGGGAGTGGTGCCAACACAATTCTCTTGGTTTGGGCCAGACTTCCCCAATGCCTCCGTCCCCGAGTAGGAATTGACAGCTTCTGCTGCTGCTTGCTGAAGGAGTTGATCGCCTGCACTTCCCTTTTAAGATATTGGCTCACCAGCCTTGTGTGCACGCACACACGCATACACAGAGAGACACAGAGACGACGACGGGGCCAGGGGAGGCTTTGGGGGGCCCTCTAGGCCAGCTCTTCTTCGGCTCTTCAGCCCCCCTCTGTGGGGGCGGCTGGGGCTTCCTTCCGTTTCCTCCTGCTGCACTGTCGGCCTTAGTTCTAGGACGGGCAGAGTGGCGGCAGCAAAGAGACCCTTACCAGGTGTTGGGGAGGGGTGGGGAAAACGCACGCAGGTGTGAGGACGGGTTGGGCAGGGGGAGGGGCTTTGTGTTTGGGACTGAAGCTGGCAGGCTGGCCGGCCACGGAAGGGGCTGCCACCTCTGTGTTCAAGGAGCCAATCTTGTCGGCTCAGTAGGAAATGGGGGAGGGGGGGGGGGGGTGTGGGGTTTTTTTTTGGGGGGGGGGGGGTTGTTAGTTTTTATGGTTTTAAATGTGGTTTTATATTCTGTAAGCCGCAGAATAGGGCAGCGAATAGGCGGCACCATAAACTCCATCAGTGTTGGGGGTGTTGTGACCTCCCACCGCAGGAGGCCTCTTGTAGGACGCTGGAGCTCAGGAAAGGGGCCTGAGCTGGGGGGAAAGCAGGGGGGGGGGACCCCGGGCAGATGGCCAGGTGCTTGGCCAGGGGGGGGGAGGGAGGGGGGGGGGGGCTCCCGTCTTTCAGCGGAGGGTCCGCTGGCAGCAGGCAGGAGGGTTGGGGGCTGTGAGGAAGGGGAAGCCTAACCAAAGCACAGCTGGGGAAGAGCTGCTTCTGGGAACCTTCCCCCAGCCCCCACGGCTGGCCGGCCCTGCTTCCTCTTTCAGAGGGGGGAGGGAGGGTGCTTGGGCAGAGGCCCGGCCCTCCCCCCTCCCCCCACAGGCCACAGAGCCTCTGGCATGCCTGGGGCTGAGCCAGCGGGGGTGGGCTCCCCTGGGAACAGGCATGTGGGGGGGGGACCATGCTGAGAATGCAGCCCTGGAATGTCTCCCTGGCAGGCGGCATGGGGGGGGGACGGACGGACGCTGGGGGCGGAATCGCCGGCCTCCTGGGGGAGGCAAAGGAGGACTCTGGGGCAGAGGCAGGAAGGCGCTCGCCAGCTGCTTCTTGGCTGGGGCCTCGGAACCGCCCAGTGGGCCTAGATGAAGACAGGGGGCCCAGAGCCCCTCCCCACCCTTGAGACCGTGGCCTTGCCCCCCGCATCTGGCCTTTCCCTCACAGGGTTGGCCTACAACGCTAACAAGATCCCCCACCCACCCACCCGCCCAGCCAGCCCCATTCCAAGATGGGGCAGGTAGAGAGCCTGCTGGTTTCAGTCAGGGTCTCTGGTGGGGGGGGGGCAGCTCAGCGGGAAAGGCGGCAAAACCCACTGAGACCAACCAGGGCCCCTTTCAGCCTTCCTCCCAGGGGGTCCTTCCGGTGCTGCCAGGGTTCCTGGAGCCCTTTTTTTGGGGGGGGGCATCTGTGACCGCAGAGTGACGGTTGGGGGGGACTTGTGACTTAGGAGGAGGGGGGACCCACCTCCAGCTCACAAGCATCCTGGGGTGCCTGGCTCTGCTCCCCCTTCCTCAAAATGCAGCGCTGGCTCAGCTTGAGTTGCCTGTCCTCACTTGGGGGGCAGAAAAGACCCCCATCCCTGCGCAGGCGCTCCCACGGCTCCTGGATGCTTTGGGGCGAGAGGTGGCAGGGCATCGAAATTCACCTGATTGGCGGGTGCCATTGAGGGGAGGGGCCTTGGGGAATGGGCGTGACCCGCCCAAGCAGAAAGGGGGGCTGGCTGAGAGAGAAAGTGCTGCAGCTTGGAGAGTCTCACCCTGTCCAGAAACTGAGGCAGGCGGGCTCCGCACCTGGGCCCCCCAAGGCCTCAAAGGACCGGGCAGGCAGCCGAACGAGCAGGATCAGGTACCCAGAGCCGTCCCAGGGGTGCGGGGTGGGCAGAGGAAGTGCTTGGTTGAAGAAGGGAGCAGAGCCCCTGCCTCCTCCCCGCCCTGCAAGGGACCCCACCTCCCTGCCAGGCTGCCTCTGGCAGTGGCCCAAGAGGCAGGAGCCTCCGAGATGCCGGGCTGGGCCCAGTGGGCACCCCTCGGAGCCGCCCTCGGGTCTTTGAGGTCAAGAAGGCCACTCCTCCCGGGGAAGGGCTGCCAGCCCCGCTGCCTGCCTGAGCTCTCGGAAAGCAGCGGGGCACGGCAGGAGGGTGTAGGGGACAGGGTGGGTCTCGGCACAGAGGGCTGCTAGCACCACTTGGTGTCCTGGCGTGGGCTGCCCTTCCAGTCGGAGGGGCTCTTTCCCTCCAGTCGAAGCCCATCCTCGGCTTTAAACCCAAGGTGGAGGACTCTCCCCTGCTCCCGCTGCCCCCGGGAGGCTGCTGTGCCCAGGAGGGTCCCCTGCAGCCCCCTCCCCTCAGGCTCCAGCTTCCCTCTGTGCTGGAGAAGGCGTTGGAGAAGCCTTCGGCTGTTGGGGGGGTGGGGGAGGCAACCATCGGGTGCCAGGCTGGGCCTTCTGGCTTCCCTCAGCGGTTTCCTCTCGCCGGCCATCTGGGCATAATCTGCCTTCTCCGGCCACCGGCCTTATCAGCTCAGCTCCACCAGGATGGCCTTCTTCCTGTGGCCATGATGTGGCACATCTTCGCCCTCGGGCGCCTCCTGGGCCACACCCCCTTCCTGCTGCCCTGCCCTGCCCCTGGCGCAAGCAGTGCCTTGGCGTGGGAGCTCCGCATTTCTCCATAGCGGTGGCAGTCATTCCAGTCATGGGGCAGCGGCCTTCTTGACCGCTGCCCCCCCCCCAGCAGCTGTGCCGGGGGGGAGTCGGCACATAGCACAGAGAATGCCGGTTGGGCTTTCCTCACTGTTTGGCTCTGGGTCCATTCCGGAGGCAAAGGAGCCCACGTGGGATGCGCCATGGGGTTGGACAAGAAATTGCAGCCTCAATGCCCCCCCCCTCCCCATCTGCCCCTCCATCCCCTCTCCCCCCTGTGGGGAAGGGCGGGCTCTGGGTTCCACCCGGAAGAGCCACTGGACGCTGAAGGCCGAGCCACTCTGGGAACCTGACTGCTTGGGCCAGCCGTTGCCCATCTCCCCCTCGTGGCGCCCAGGAAGGGCTCCCCGCTCACCCCGCCCTTCTTCCACAGGTGAAGCAGGAGAGGGCCCATCTCAGGCGCCACCATGGTGGCCTTATCACTCAAGATAAGCATTGGCAATGTGGTGAAGACGATGCAGTTTGAGCCCTCCACCATGGTGTACGACGCCTGCCGCATCATCCGGGAACGGGTGCCGGAGGCGCAGATGGGGCAGCGTAAGTGGCCAGGCGGGCTGTCCTTGGAGAAGGAGGTGCCGAGGGGGAGCGGGGTGGGCTGCCAGCCAGGGAGAAGGGTCCCCGCTCCCACCTCGCCCCTTGCCCATGTCCCTGGGGGCATCGCTGGTGGCCCTCAAGCCCCCCCCCCCCTGGTCCAACCCTCTCCCTGCGGTTCTTTCTTCAGCCCACGACTTTGGCCTTTTCCTCTCGGATGAAGACCCCAAGAAGGGCATCTGGTTGGAGGCCGGGAAGGCCCTGGACTACTACATGCTCCGCAATGGGGTGAGTGCTTCCCTGCGGGGGGCTTTCTGATCAGCCGAGTGAGTTGGGGGAGGGGGAGGCCGGATGCCCGTGTCAGCCCCAGCAGTTAAGCGTAACCCCCCCCCCCAATAGGCTGCTCTTGGCCAGGACAGACACGTGGCCTTTCCGCGAAATGCCCACTGAAATCCCTCTGGAAGGGCCTTGCTGCGAGCGCAGAGCTTCTCCCCGGGGCTGGCCAGCCTCGGCCCCCCCATCTCTTCTGGGGCTGTCGGAGTGGCCGGGAGACGGGGGGGGGGGGGCCCCCGCCTAGGGAGGGTCCTCTTGTTCGCTGCTGGAGGAGGAGGAAGAGGAGGAGAAGTCTGGGCCTTGAAGGATGCCTTCCCTCAAAGGCCAGCCAAGGACCTGACCTCTCTCTCTACACACCCCCACACACACAGCAGGAGGACCCCAAGAGCGGCTGCCTTCTTGGCTGCCTTAGGCTCGCTCCTTCCCGCCCCCTGGGTTGTCTGTCCCCCACCCCCACCCCTCAATTGTGGCCCTGGCATTTCTTGGCTCTCCCCCCACCCCTAAACCTGGCTTCTCAGGACACCATGGAGTACAAGAAGAAGCAGCGGCCCCTGAAGATCCGCATGCTGGACGGGACGGTCAAGACGGTCATGGTGGATGACTCCAAGACGGTCACCGACATGCTCATGACCATTTGTGCCCGGATCGGTGAGCAGCCTGGGGGTGGCTGGGCTGATGGATGGGAGGGGGAGGGGAGGGGAGGGGAGGGGAGGCAGCCTCCGTTCTCTGGGCCCGCCCTCCACCCCACCCCACCCCGGACCAGGAGGGACAACGGAGCAAAGCCGGGGTGGGCTGCTGGGCAGCTGTGCCCATGGCCGGGGTGACCTTCGTCCCTGGCAAGGCTGCTTTGTGCCCCCAGGCATCACCAATTACGACGAGTACTCGCTGGTACGGGAGATCCTGGAGGAGAAGAAGGAGGAGCAGACGGGCACGCTCCGAAAGGACAAGACCCTCCTGCGCGACGAGAAGAAGATGGAGCGGCTGAAGCAGAAGCTCCACACGGACGATGAGTGTACGTGGGCCGGGCCGGGCGCTCGGCGAGGGGGGCGGGCGGGCGGGCGGGCAGGCGGAGGGGACCTCGGCGGCTCTCATCCTGCCCTGCCTCCTTGTGCAGTGAACTGGCTGGATCACGGACGCACTTTGCGCGAACAGGGCATTGATGACAACGAGACGCTGCTCCTCCGGCGGAAGTTCTTCTACTCTGACCAGAACGTGGATTCCCGCGACCCGGTGCAGCTCAACCTCCTCTACGTCCAGGTGGCTCTTGCTGCCCCGTTGCCGGGGCTTCTCCCTCCGCTTTGGCATCCGGCAGGGGTGCAGAGGAGGCTGCTGGGGGAGGAGGAGCGGCCCGGAGGCTCCCTGCTCACCTTGCTCCTCTGTCTCCAGGCCCGAGACGACATCCTGAACGGCTCCCACCCCGTCTCCTTCGACAAAGCCTGCGAGTTTGCCGGCTTCCAGTGCCAGATCCAGTTCGGTCCCCACAATGAGCAGAAGCACAAGGCCGGGTTTCTGGAGTGAGTCCTCCCTCCGCTTGGGCCCCAGTCCCGCTGGGTCCTTTCCCCAGTGGCCCCTCCGTCTGTCCCCTCGGCCGGGCCTTTGGCTCGGGGGGGCCCTCCCTGACGGAGGCTCTCTTCCCCCCTGTGCAGCTTGAAGGATTTCCTGCCAAAGGAGTACGTCAAGCAGAAGGGGGAGCGGAAGATCTTCCTGGTGAGCCACTGGGGGGCTCTGGAAACCGGCCGTTGCGGGCCACGCCCCTTCTGCCCCACCCGCCTGCTTCCCAAGGGCCCCGGAGGCCTGGCCGGCCTGGGGGGAGGAGGGTGCAGGGGGGCTGGGGGAGCGATGAGGCAGGGAGGGGTCGGTCATTTGGGAGCCAGGGGGTGCAGCCACCTGCTTTCGCCCCACCCCCAGGCCCACAAGAACTGTGGCAGCATGAGTGAGATCGAGGCCAAGGTGCGGTACGTGAAGCTCGCCCGCTCGCTCAAGACCTACGGCGTCTCCTTCTTCTTGGTCAAGGTAAGCAGCGCTCCTTCCGGCCCCCTTTGGCCCCTGCCTGGGAGAGCCTGCTCCGGGGCTGGGGGGGAGGGGCTGGCTGGGGCCCTCCCGCTCCGAGCCGGAGGGGGGGCTGCACCCCATGGCCTGGGCACCTGCCTTGCAGGAGAAGATGAAGGGGAAGAACAAGCTGGTCCCCCGCCTGCTGGGCATCACCAAGGAGTGCGTCATGCGGGTGGACGAGAAGACCAAGGAGGTCATCCAGGAGTGGAACCTGACCAACATTAAGCGCTGGGCGGCCTCTCCCAAGAGCTTCACCCTGGTAAGGGAAAGGCCCGAGGACCGACGGGGGCCAGCCCCTCCCTCCCCCCTCCCAGGTCTGCAGGGCAAAGGCCCACCTGGAGGGGAGGGGCCACCCTGGAGCAGGCAGAGTCGGCCTGGGGCCCACAGCCACTTCCCAGGGACCTGCCTTCCGAAACAGCCTGGGCCCGACCGACACGCCCACCGCTGCCTCCCAGCCCAGGACGAGGGCGCCGCCTGGCGTCCATGTCTGCTTCCGTTCGGCCTCTGCCTGTGGCATCGTCTCCCCAGGGCTGCCGTTTCTGCCAGGTGGAAGGGGTGCCCGTGACCCACAGACGGGGGGCCCTGGGGGTGGGATCCATCATCTCCTCTACCCGCAAGGCCCCCTCTTCTGGGGCTGATCTGTTCTGGGCCGGCTGGCTGCAGCAGCTGCTGGGGACAGTGGGCAAGCCTTCCAAACCCACTGCCCCCCCCATCCCCCGAGACCTCCAAGGGGTCGGGGGTGGCCCTGGCGAAGCGGAATGGCGGAATCTGCTGACTGGGGGCACCGGCAGCTGAGCCTTTCAGTCCGGCTGCTCCTGCGCCTGGCAGCAAGAGGGGCTGGTTTTGGATGGCCCAGGAGTCGGGAAGGAGGCGGTCATGGGAGCAGCAAGACCGTCAGCCGTGGCGTCTTGGGGGGCAGCAGCCCCAGCCGGAAGGCCCCCTCCGGACACTGCCTTCGCTTCGGGGTTGCAGGACTTTGGGGACTACCAGGACGGCTATTACTCTGTGCAGACCACCGAAGGGGAGCAGATTGCCCAGCTCATCGCGGGTTACATTGACATCATCTTGAAGAAGGTGGGTCTCGGGGGGGGGGGGGTCGGGGGGGGGGTCGGGGGGGGGGGCGTGACCAGGCCAAGAGCAAGGCTGGCTCCTGATCTGGATCAAGGGGTGCCCGGAGCCATAGCCTCACTCCCCTGACTTGGTCTGTGTGGCTTCGGCCGCCCTCTCGGGGCCTGGCCCAGGGGAGCCCGGGTGACCGCTGCCTCTGCCTTGCAGAAAAAGAGCAAGGACCACTTTGGCCTGGAGGGAGACGAGGAATCCACCATGCTGGAGGACTCCGTGTCCCCCAAGAAGTAAGGCCGGCTTCACTGGAGGGGGGGGGGGCCGTTGGGGAGGGGGCTGCACCTCACCCCCTGCCTGCCTCCTAGGTCGACCCTTCTGCAGCAGCAGTTCAACCAGCTGAACAAAGCCGAGCACAGCTCCGTGGCCCTCCCGGTCATCATCCGGCCAGGCGCCAGTGGGCCGGAGAACTTCCAGATGGGCACCATGCCCCAGGCCCAGCAGCAGATCACGAGTGGGCAGATGCACCGGGGGCACATGCCCCCTCTGGTAAGGCTCCCGGGCTCCCCCCGGCTCCCCTGCTGCCCTGACACGGGTCTCTTGGGGCTCCCGCTGCCCTCCGGGGCTGGGGGCCCCTTCCTGAAGGCCCCTCTGATTCTTGGGAAACGGGGGGGGGCAGGCCCACATTGGCCCCGCTCACCCAGCCCCCCGGCTGCTGCTGCAGGGGGAGGGGGGACGGACGGACCGGGGGGTGCGGGCATTGGCTGACCCATCTTCCTTCTGCTCTGCCCTGCAGACCTCGGCTCAGCAGGCCCTCACGGGCACCCTCAACGCCAGCATGCAGGCCGTGAAGGCTGCGCAGTCCAGCCTGGATGACTTCGAGACCCTCCCGCCCCTGGGCCAAGATGCGGTGAGAGGGCCAGGAAGAGGGCGGCTGGGTTTCCCCCTGAAGAGGTCCCTCCTGGGCCCGGACCCCTCCGGTGACCCCTGCTTCTCCACCCTCCCACCCCCCGTAGGCCTCCAAGGCCTGGCGAAAGAACAAGATGGATGAGTCGAAGCACGAAATCCACTCCCAAGTCGACGCCATCACCGCAGGCACGGCTTCCGTGGTCAACCTGACTGCTGGCGACCCGGCAGAAACGGACTACACGGCCGTGGGCTGCGCCGTCACCACCATCTCCTCCAACCTGACCGAGATGTCCAAGGGGGTGAAGCTGCTGGCGGCACTCATGGAGGACGAGGGGGGAAACGGGCGGCAGCTCCTGCAGGCTGCGAAAAACCTGGCTGGGGCCGTCTCGGAGCTCTTGAAGACAGCCCAGCCGTCCAGCGCCGAGGTCAGCGGGGGAGGGAGTGGAGCGGGACCTGCTCCAAAGGGGGGGGGGAGCTGGCTTGGGACCCAGGAGCCAGTGGGAGCAGGAGGGGGCTGCGGTGGAATCTTTCTGGGGGGTCTTTGGGCCGATCCCGCCTTTGCACCCCAACCAACCTCACAGGGTTGTTGTGCAGTGAAGTGGGGTAGAGGGAAGGCCGTGACTGCTGCTTGGAGCTCCTGTGCAAAAGGAACAGAAAAGGATCCCAGCGGTGCCGTGGCAGTCCTGGTCCTGCCAGGATAAGCAGCGGGCGGGGGAGCATTGCCCGCCTTGAGGTCTAGAGTCCGTTTCCTGAGAACAGCCGTGCCGGCCAGGGGCTCCCGGGTTGGCCTTGGAGCGTTCCTGGTGGGGCTTTCGTCTCAGGGTGCCCTGACTCCTGCAGCAGCTGCTTTCCCCATCCTGGGGAAGAGGGTGGTTCTCGCCACCGACAGTCCGGAGGGGGCACGGTGGCAGCCTGCCCTTCTCGGGGCACACGGCCAGACCGAGGACCCGGCGCTGATGGGCCCCTGCTTTCCCCCTTCCAGCCACGGCAGAATCTGTTGCAGGCAGCTGGCGCGGTGGGACAGACCAGTGGAGAACTGCTGCAGGAGATTGGGGAGAGTGACACGGACCCCCTTTTCCAGGTGAGGGGTCTGCCGAGAGCACATGGGACCGGCTCAGGAATGGCTGAGTGACGTCCAGGGGGCTGCAGCGAACTCTCGGGGAGGAATGACCGGGAGAAAAGTCAGCGGGGCTGCGGGGCGGCAGCGGGCCCTTCCCACCCCACAGAGGAGGCCAAGACCACCAGGGCCCGGGGTCACAGGCTAATGAGGTTGCTCCAGCCCAGCAAGACTCCCTGGGCTCCGGGCATCTGCTGGGAGGGCCTGAAACTCAGGTTCCTGCCCTGAGTCGGGGTGGGGAGTCAGTGGCCCCTCATGGCCTGGAAGGTGGCTCCCCAACGGGCAGCCGAGGCCTCTCTCTCAGGCGGTGGATGTTCACATACAGATTGTGGAGAGCCGGCGCCTCCGGACCCTGCCCGCCCCCGATGCCAAGACGGTAAAAGGGCCCGAGCTGGTCCGTGGCTGTGCTCCTTGCGGAGCCCCTGCTCTTGCCACAATCGGTGTGCTTGCCCGGGGGTGGTTCCTGCACAGCTTCCTCTCTGGCCGCTGCCAATCCCCACTCTCCAGTTCAAAAGCCTCTCAGAAAGCGACCGCAAGGCCTGCGGCCGGGAGACACAGGTCCCCCCGGCGTGCTCCCTGCACGGACCAGACCTCTTCCTCAGGGGAGGCCTGCAGCCTCTGGACCCCCGGTGGCACAGGCTCCCTTCTCGGTGTGGGGAGTTTCAGCTGGGCGGGCAAGGGGGGGGGCTGGCTGTGGCTGCCTGGGCTTGGTGGTGGGCTTGGTGTGCGGCACTCTGCGCCTGAGGTGACTTGCTCTGGTGGTGAAGGTTCCCGGTTGGGCCAGCTGGCGGCGGAAGCACGGCCACCTCCTCCAGGCAGGGGCCCTTGCGGTGGGGGGAGGAGGAGGCCCTGTGCTGGGCGTGCTTTGCCCGCTTCCTGGCTGTGGTCTGAGGTGGCCCTTCCTTCCCCAGGACGTGCTGATGCAGCTCGCCAAGGCGGTGGCCAGCGCGGCGGCCGCTTTGGTTCTGAAGGCCAAGAACGTGGCCCAGAAGACAGAGGACTCGGTGCTGCAGACCCAGGTGATCGCTGCGGCCACCCAGTGTGCCCTCTCCACCTCCCAGCTGGTGGCCTGCACCAAGGTGGGTCCTTCTTGCCTGGGACTTGGCTGGTCGGGACGGGACTCTCTCCCTTCTTGCCTGGGCCCGGAGGCCCGCTTCCTCCTGAGGGAGGCCGGCCCGTTGGCTCCTGCGCGCAGTTCCACGTGGGCCATGCCGGTTTCCCTCCTCCCGACCTGTGTCCCCTTCTTTGGCAGGTGGTCGCTCCCACCATCAGCTCCCCCGTCTGCCAGGAGCAGCTGGTTGAGGCGGGGAAGCTGGTGGCCAAGTCAGTGGAAGGCTGCGTGGAGGCCTCCCAGGCGGCCACCTCGGACGAGCAGCTGCTGAAACAGGTGGGGGTGGCCGCCACCGCCGTCACCCAGGCACTCAATGACCTGCTGGAGCACATCAAGCAGCACGCCACGGGTGGGCAGCCGGTCGGGCGCTACGACCAGGCCACCGACACCATCCTCAACGTCACCGAGAACATCTTCAGCTCCATGGGTGACGCTGGTGAGGAATGCCGCCCGGGAGGCTACCCCGTCCACAGAGCCCCAGGGTTGCCAGGCGATGCCAGCCAGAGCCGGCGGCTGGACGGCTAGGAGCATCGTGGCCCCCCCTCCTCACGGCCCCTCCTTGCTCCCTGCCCCCCAGGGGAAATGGTTCGTCAGGCTCGCATCCTGGCCCAGGCTACATCTGACCTGGTGAACGCCATCAAGGCTGATGCGGAGGGGGAGACTGACCTGGAAAACTCGCGGAAATTGCTGAGCGCCGCCAAGATCCTGGCAGATGCTACGGCCAAAATGGTGGAAGCGGCAAAGGTCTGGCCCTGAGATGCACAGAGTGGTTGGAGCGTCGAGGGTGGCGGTGCCTGTTCGGCTCTATGGCCACAGCCGGGCAATGCAGAGAGTGGCCCTCTCCCCTTGGCAAGCAGTGCCAGGCAGAAGCACGCTCTGCCCCCTGGCAGGCAGCCTGCAGGCGAGTGGGTCCTGCCAGGGCCCATCCTTGGGGGTGGCTGTTTATGAGAGCCGCCCCTTCCGGGTGGAGCAGACGAATTAGGGGGCGGGCATGCTCCTGACGGGCCTCCGTCCTTCCTGCCAGGGGGCTGCGGCCCACCCGGACAGTGAGGAGCAGCAGCAGCGGCTGCGGGAGGCGGCGGAGGGGCTTCGCATGGCCACCAATGCGGCAGCCCAGAATGCCATCAAGAAGAAGCTGGTGCATCGGCTGGAGGTGGGTTTCGGGGAGGGGCAAGGGGTTGGCTAGCTCTTTCGGCCCGGGAGAGTGGGGGCCTCACCCTGATCTTCCCCTCCAGCACGCAGCCAAACAGGCCGCTGCAGCTGCCACGCAGATGATTGCAGCTGCCCAGCACAGTGCCGGGGGGAGCAAGAACCCTTCCGCCCAGCAGCAGCTCGTGCAGAGCTGTAAGGTAAGCTTACGGGCCCGGAGCCCCGTCCTCGAGGCCTCTGCAGTGAACTGGCTGGATCACGGACGGGGTGGGCCCGTCTTCACCGTCCTCCCCCAGGGAAGGGTCTCCACTGGGGGGGGGGGAGGGAGGCGGCACTCGTCCAGCTCTCCCCTCGCTCTCCTGGACGCAGCCAGTGGCAGGGAAGCCCGGCTGCTCTGGGCGCAGAGGCCTTGGCGCACAGCCGCTTCTCCGTGTGGCTGGCCGAGCCGCGTGGGCAGCAGAGCCCCTTGGGGCTGCCTGCTCTTCTCTGCCTGGCCTGACCCAGGAGGAGGAGCTGGTCTGGCTGAGACGTCCTGGCAGGTGCCAAGATGAAAGGAGGGCGGGGGGGGGCGAGGCACAGAGGCCGTCAGCCTCAGGAGCCCGAAGGAACCCCGGGGGCCCCTTTCCCTGAGGCAGGGGGAGCGGGCAGAGGAAGGCTTGCAGCCGAGATGTCTGTCCCACTTCTCTCCTGGCAGGTGGTGGCTGATCAGATCCCGATGCTGGTGCAGGGAGTTCGGGGCAGCCAGTCCCAGCCGGACAGCCCCAGTGCCCAGCTGGCCCTCATTGCTGCCAGCCAGAACTTCCTGCAGGTGAGCAGGCGCTCTGGCCCGGTCAGGGGCTGCAGAGGGTTTACGGCACAAGCCTGGCCACAGCACGTGACCCCTACCCATCCGCTTTCCATTGTAGCCTGGTGGGAAGATGGTGGCTGCCGCCAAGGCTACGGTGCCCACCGTCTCGGATCAGGCCTCTGCCATGCAGCTCAGCCAGTGCGCTAAAAATCTGGCGGCAGCTCTTGCCGAACTCCGCACAGCAGCCCAGAAGGTCAGCCACGTCGCCTGCGGGGCTCTGGGTATCAGCCCCAGAGGTGGGGGCAGGAGCAGAGGGGAGGCGCCTCGCTCTGTCTGGGAGGCTCCTTGTGCCAGGCCTGGCCTCCCTTTTGTCAGGGAAACGGGGAAGCCCTGGCCTTGGCAGGGAGTCCCCGGGGTGTGTGTGTGTGAGTGACCAGGATGGGTTCCCCTGTCCCCTCCAGGCGCAGGAGGCCTGTGGCCCACTGGAGATCGACTCGGCCCTCAGCCTGGTGCAGAGCCTGGAGAGAGACTTGCAGGAGGCCAAGGCAGCTGCCCGGGAGGGCAAGCTGAAGCCCCTCCCAGGGGAGACGGTGCGTGGGGGGTGGGTCAGGGGAGCTGTGGGGGGGGGGCAAGTGGCCTCTGGGGGCTCCGGGCCCTTCCTGACAGGCTCTCCGTGCTGCAGATGGAGAAGTGTGCCCAGGACCTAGGCAATAGCACCAAGGCCGTCAGCTCCGCCATTGCTCACCTGCTGGGAGAGGTTGCCCAGGGCAACGAGAACTACACAGGTACCTGGTTCTGTAGGGGTTGTGGCAGCTGCGGCTCCAATTGTGGTTCTGTGTGCTTGTGGGTGGCCTGCCCTGTCCTTTGGCCAGGAAGTGGTCCTCCCCCACCTGGCATGAGAGGTCCTGGGGTCCACTGTGTCCTACAACTGCCCCGCTTCCCGTTGGGGTGCCCCAGCCCAGCCGGGTTTGCCTTTCTTGGGATGGGGGCGAGGCCCTTGTTCAGCTCCAGGCTCTGGAGGCAGGAAGAGGGCCGGGCAGGGAGGATACACCTCGGCTGCCCATCCCCAAGGACTGTCATGCCCCTCTCCCCTCAGGGATTGCAGCTCGGGACGCGGCCCAGGCGCTGCGCTCCCTCAGCCAGGCTGCCCGGGGCGTGGCTGCCAGCACAGAGGACCCTCAGGCCCAGGCAGCCACCCTGGACTGTGCCGGAGACGTCATGGACAAAGCCAGCAGCCTCATCCAGGAGGCCCGTAAGGCGGTGTCCAAGCCAGGGGATGCGGAGAGTCAGCAGCGCCTGGCCCAGGTGAGCCCAGGGGCCTGGCCGGGCCTGGTCTTGCTAAGGGCAGGAGCTGCTGCCTGGGGGTGGGTGGGTGGGGGAGTTGCCTGGGGGGGGCAGGCCAAACACTCCGTGTCCTCTCTGCAGGTGGCCAAGGCCGTGTCCCAAGCCCTGAACCGTTGTGTCAACTGCCTGCCTGGTCAGCGGGACGTCGATGCTGCCATCCGCACCGTTGGCGAGGCCAGCAAGAGGCTGTTGGCTGACTCTGTGAGTGCGGGGGCTGCTTTAGCTCGGTGGCTGGGTGGGTGGATCGTCCCACCAGGGGGCTGGCCTGGGCCAGGGCGCCCTCTCTGGGCAGGCAAGCTGCTGAACTGTGCAGGGAGCCACCCTCGCTGCCCTGCCAAGGCTTCTCCCTGGGAGGGGCCCAGACGGAAACATGGCAACCAAACACGCCTCTCCCCCTCCTCCCCCCCCCCAAAAAAAGGCCCCAGACTCCACGGATGCATTCGCTGTGCTTGGTCCGGCCTCAGTCTTTGAGCTGGGTGTTTCGGGAGCCGAAGGTCTTGGGGGGGCTTGCCAGGGCCCCCATTCTCCTTCCTTGTCTTTACAAGGAGTCTTGGGGAGGGAACTAAAAGAACAGCCGTACTGGACTTAATTCTTACAAACAGAGAAGAGAGAGAGGGAATTGAAACCGCAGGAACCTTGGGTGAGAGTGACCCTGTCATGCTAGAATTTAACATAACGCAAACACAAGCAATAGAATATAATGATATCAGAGTCTTAGATTTTAAAAGAGCTGATTTTAATAAACTCAGAGAGAACTTGGGAAAGATTCCTTGGAGGAGATCCTAAAGGAGAAAACAATTCAAGAATCTTGGGAAGCTCTGAAAAGTATGATCATAGAAGCCCAGACCAGCACAATACCACTGAGAAAGAAAAACAAGAAATCCAAGAAGAAGCCAGCATGGCTGCACAAAGATCTCTCTGGCAAATTGAAAGAAATAAAGGACAAATGCAAAAAAATGGAAAGAAGGACATACAACTAAGGCATAAATAACAAGAAGAAAATCAAGGAAACAGTCGGTCCACTAAAGAGAGAAGATGGCAAGGAAGTAACAGGCAACAGAGAGAAAGCAGAACCGCTTAACTCATTCTTTGCATCCGTCTTCACACAAAAAGAAACTATAGCTCAACCCACCAAAAACAACTGTAAAAGACAGACTAAAAATAAAAGTTAAAATAAGCAAAAAAAATAGTAAGAGAACATGAATACAAATCACCGGGATCTGACAGATTACATCCCAGAGTTTTAAAGGAGCTGGCAGGGGTCATCTCAGAACCGCTGCACCACATCTTTCAAAAATCCTGGAGCACCAGGGAACAACCAGAGGACTGGAAAAGAACTGATGTGGTTCCCATCTTCAAAAAAGGGGAAAAAAACAGACCCAGGAAACTACAGACCAGTCAGCCTAACACCAATACCCGGGAAGGTACTGGCAAAGATAATAAAAAAACAGATCTACCAACATCTAGAAACTAGTAAAGTTATAGCTAGAAGCCAGCATGGGTTTGTTATAAACAGATCACGCCAAACCAATCTTATTTCATTCTTTGACCAAGTGACTAAATAGTAGACAAGCGAAATACTGTGGACATAGTATATTTGGATTTCAGCAAGGCATTCAACAAAGTAGACCACAACCTACTTCTTGGTAAACTAGACAACAGTGGGATAGACAGCATCAACGCCAGATGGATTTGTAACTGGCTGACCAACCGTACTCAATGAGTAGTCCTTAATGGGTCTAAGTCTACATGGAGGGAAGTAAGCAGTGGGGTTCCATCTTAGGCCCAGGACTCTTCCATATCTTCCTAAGCGACTTAGATGAGGGAATAGAAGGGGAACTTAACACATATCCGGATGACGCTAAGCTGGCAGGAATAGCCAACACGCAAAGAGAGGCTCAAGACCCAGGTGGATCTTGGCACACTGGAACCCTGGGCCCTATCTAACAACATGAAATTCAATGTAGAGAAAAGTAAAGTCCTACACTTAGGCAAGAAAAACCAAAAGGACACATAAAGACCCGGTGAAACCAGGTTTAATAGCAATAACTGAGAGAGATCTTGGAGTCTTAGTGGACAGCCAGTTAAATATGAGCCAGCTGTGTGCAGCAGCAGCCCAAAAATCCTAAATTGCATTAACAGAAGGATACAATCAAGATCAAGTGAGGTACCAATACCGCATAAAGCCTTAGTAAGGCCACACCTAGAGTCCATGCATCCAGTTTTGGTCACCACTCTATAAAAAAGATGTCGAGTCTCTAGCAAAAGTGCAGAGAAGAGCAACCAGGATGATGAGGGGACTGGAGGCTAAAAGATATGAAGAATGGTTACAGGAACTGGGCCTGGCTAGTCTAGAGAAGAGAAGGACCTAACTCCCAGAATTGGCTGGGGAATTCTGGGACTTGGAAGTCCACAGCTCCCTGAGTGGGCGGGGGGGGGGGGGGGGGGCTGCCTGACTTCTTATTGAGCATTGTCCAAAGAGGCAGGGGTGCCCCAGGCCTCCCTCAGCTGAGAGACAGAGAGAGAGAGAGAGAGAGAGAGAGAGCAGCCAGGCTGGCATTGCCTGGTGAGACTCCCACGGGCACTGTGTTGGCTGCCTCCATCCCAGGTGATGCCTGGCTTTGCGGAGGACCAGCCCCACCTGTAGCTGAATCCATGGGTGTGTGTCCCCCCCCGGGGCTTCCCACTCAGGGTCACGCCACTGATTCCTCCTGTTCTGGCCCTGGTGGGACCCCTTCCTCCTCCTCCTCCTCCTTTGGGGAGGAGTTGGGCATCCATCCCAGAAGTGCCCATGGCTTCTTTGGGTTCCCTAGACTGGCTGCTGGACTTCCTGAGACACGGGGCCTTTGGGGGGGGGGGGCTGCCTGATCCACGGCCCCTCCGGCTCCCTCCCTTGCTTCTGTGTCCCCCGCTGCCTGACGGCCCTGCCCTCCCTTCCTGCCTGGCTCCAGGCTTTGGGGGAGTTGCGGCTGAGGGGTAGCAGCGAGGGGGGAGGGGAGGCAAAGCGCCCACCCACTAAGCAGGCCCTTGCCTCCGTGGGGTTGAGCGGCCTTCCTCTCCTTAGTCCATAAAGGGCCGTAAAGAACATAGAGCCTCGTGGGGCTGGAGGGGACCTCAGAGGCCTTCTAGTCCAGCCCCCTGCTCCAGGCAGGAGGCCTTACTCCGCCCTAAACTTCACAAAGACGAGTGGTTAGCAGCTGTCTGTCCCATCATGAGTTCAAGTGAGTTCAAAGCCGCAGCGGTGCTGATGAGAAACCTGGTTCTCCGAGTTGTGGCTGTCACAGGGGGGACCCCACAGCTAAGCCCACCGAAGGGGCTTGATAAGGCTTGCTGTGTCCTGGGCTCAAGTGGCCGTGCCTGTGGCCTTTGCTGACCGCTCCTGCCAAGCCCAATGGGCAATGGTGAAGCCAGCAGAGGAGGCCAGATGGACAGCTCCTGAGCCTGGGGGGGGGGGGGGGACAAGGTCCTGGGCAGCCGCTTGTCCGAAAGGGTAGAGGGCGTCGAACTCCAGGTGTCGCGTTACTGTCACGTGACCTATGGCGACGTTTTTCCTTTCACGGAGCCGGGGTGAGCGTGGCCTGCGTGTGACACATCGGGTCCAGGGGCTGCCAGTTTGACCCCCCTGGAAGAGGGCCGCCTGCTTCAGCTGGGGGTTGAAGACCTCCAGGGGCCCTTCCAGCTCTCGACGGAGGGATGGGAGACAGGGGAGCAGGGCTCCAATATTTGAGGGGCTGCCCCAGAGAGGAGGCGGGGGGGGGGGGGGGTTCAAGCTATTTTCCAAGGCACCCGAAGGCCAGAGAAGGAGGAGGAATAAAGGACCGAAACGGATCAAGGGGAGATTCAGCCTGGAAACAAGGGGGAATTTCTGACAGGGAGAACGTTCAGCCAGGGGAAGGGAAGCGGCCTTCAGAAGTTGCGGGAGCTTCGTCCCTGGAGGCTCTCGAGAAGAGACTGGGCTGCCCTCGGTCAGAAATGGTGCAGGGTCTCCTGCTTGGGCATGGGGTGGGGAGGGGGGGTTGGACTAGATTGCCTGCAAGGTCCTTCCCAACTCTGTTGATCTGTTGAAAGATTAAGCAGCAGCCCCCAAGCTGTGGATTTGCAGCGGAAGGGGCTGCCCTGCCAGTCTTGGGGTTGGGTGGCCGCTGGCAGGATGGGCTGGAGGAGTCGGGGGGGGGGGGGGGGGGGAGAGTGGATACTGTGACCGAGTCCTGAAGGGGAAGGAGCTGAGAAGGGCCCCCAGGGCCCCGAGCTTAGACCCCTCTTTCTTCTCCCAGTTTCCTCCTAGCGCCCAGAACTTCCAGGAGGCCCAGAGCCAGCTGAACCAGGCTGCAGCCGGCTTGAACCAGTCAGCCAATGAGCTGGTGCAGGCATCGCGGGGGACGCCCCAGGACCTGGCCAAGGCTTCCGGCAAGTTTGGCCAGGACTTCAATGAGTTCCTACAGGCCGGGGTGGAGATGGCTGGACAGTCCCAGGTAAGAGCTGCCTGGCTGGGCGGGGAAGCTCTCCAGCGAGCGCCCAGAAGGGGCACCTCCTCCACAGCGGGTGTGGGTGTGAGTGCAGGCCCACCCTCGTGGGTGTGGGGGGAGG